CACAAGATTCACACTAGGGACAACAGAGACATGTTTGACGTATCTCACACCACTAGAGGTTTACACGTTCTTCTTCTTGCCACAATGGTCAGTTGTCTGTGCACACGCTGCCAACATGTGTGTCTTATGGTGGGGAATGGAAGAGCTTTCAGGGTTTACGTTGCGCCCTACAAGAGCTTGTACTATGCTTGACCATAAAGAGTGTAAACTTGTTCTCGTTCTCATAAGATGTGTCAACCTTGCTCTTTTATGAGAAGAAACTTTCTCGCTAGCACAAAACAGAGAGGAAGTGTAAGAGAAGCCACGTGACTAGCACACTAAACATGTGTGTCACCAGAACACGAAGATGCTATAATGGACTTTATTACATGTCCCAACACACAGGCAATCGATTACTACAACTTTGAAAATATCATGTGCAAACATTGGTGAAAAAGTAGTCGAAGGAACACAGGAATACAGCGGACTTTTCATTGTAATAGAGCGTGTCAGCAGGATGGTGTCTCTTTTTCGCTACCATTTCGCAGTTGAGGTCCAGGAGATGATCATTGGACAAAGTTCGTTGTCGAAACAAAATAACAAGCTCGTCACTTAATAGCTCATACGTACGTAGCTCTTTTGTGACAAAAATCACGACGGAAAAACTGGTGCTCACCAACGTGAGGATGTTTTCATTCTGAGTGATGATAGCCAGATATCCCCAGCCATAGGCCTGTATGGCTCCGTAGATGGCTGCTGATATGTCAGCCTCAGACGGCAGCATCTGGAAATAGGCTCTGTAGCGAGTACGATTGCTGAGGAGGATGGACGAGGACACACAGGATATCTGTGAGGCAGGGAGGTTGGGGGTGGGGCAGTGTAGGGAGGGTGGGAATGGGGATAGAGTGAGGGAGAGGTAGAGAAGAGAAGAGAAGAAGCAAAGAGAGTTCGGGGATGAGTAGAGAGTAGGGAGAGGGTGAGCGAGGGGGAGAAGTAGGGTGGAAGGGAGAAGATGGTAAGGGGCCAGAGGAAGGGTGGAGGAGAGGAAGGGTAGTGAGGCAGAGGTTGGGAGTGTAGGGGGAGGAAGGGTAAGAGGGAGTGAGAGAGAGGAAGGTAAAACAGAATGGGTGAAAGGTAGAAGGCAGGAGGGTAAAGGGCAGTTAGAGAGAAAGGGAGGGGGAGTAAGGGTCCAAGGGTTATCAAATTGAGTTGTGTGTCAACAAGACAAGACTAGAAATGACCGCCACCCACCCGCATATGAATAATAGTCAGGTTTTCTTTGCAGACAGCAACAAAAATGTGGCAAGTTTTCATTAACAATGCTGCGGAATTCAATACTCTTACACCACACATACACAACTACACACAATCAATCCCATTGTCTTGTCTAGAATACTGCTATATATATATTAGGTCTGCCTCACGTGGGTGAGGTTGTAGTAGTGATCAATCTCTGCGGTTGGCTCAGTGGCGAGGCTGCAGCCAGACCCCATCATGGCTATCATGGTCCGCTGCTTCTCAAACAGCAGTCTGTGGAGACTCTCAAGAGCAGTCGTGTGCTCGCACTGTCGGGGGAGACAAGAGGGAGTGGATTTAGATGACAGAGGTTGCATTGAACCATAGCACTATGGCCAAGAGGAACAAAGCAACAACATCTTCTACACACACAACACAAATTATACACAGGTGAACACCATGTGTACAAGAACAGGTCTGTAGGTGGCCCAGCCGATGTGGTGCGCACGGGAGGAAGGGACAGAACAGGGGAGGAAAAATAATAGTCTCCACCGTGATATAGTCAAATGGTGGGGTCAGACAGGTGTACCATCGTGATTTACACTTTGAGAAACACTTCCAACATGTACAAGAACAGGTCTGTAGGTGGCCCAGCCGATGTGGTGCGCACGGGAGGAAGGGACAGGACAAGAAAGGAAAAATAATAGGTTTCCACCGTGATATAGTCAAATGGTGGGGTCAGACAGGTGTACCATCGTGATTTACACTTTGAGAAACACTTCCAATATGTACAAGAACAGGTCTGTAGGTGGCCCAGCCGATGTGGTGCGCACGGGAGGAAGGGACAGGACAAGAAAGGAAAAATAATAGGTTTCCACCGTGATAATGGTGGGGTCTGACAGGTGTAACGTATTGATTTACACTTTGAGAAACACTTCCAACATGTGTGAATCTGTACACACAAAGACAACCCTGCACGATTAACCCTCTCCACAGTATTTAGGAAAGAGCAAAGCTATAAAGGGACATAAACAAAGGCAGATGGACTGATTGGCGAGCGGGAGTGAGCTAACCTAGTGGTCTGAACAGCACAGTTATTCTATAATACATTGCTGTATATATTTAAAATAAACGTCCCTACGTCGTGCTACTGCGCATGTGTTTGGATTACGTGTTTGATAACATTTTTACACGCTGCCTAGCGGCTCGATTCACCATCTAGCAAGTGAGAGAACTCTCATACGTTCGACAGATTCTTCGGTACTGAGGCTGTTTCTTTTTCCATTTTTGGCAAATTGTAAATAGGCTATGATGACTCGGTAATTGTGTGCTCGCTCCTGCTTGCCAAAAATGCCCTGCTTTTGCTTTTCAGTACAGTTTACTTGTCTATGAGGTTAGTCTTTGATGTTATAAGACTTCTCGTGGAATGTTATAAGACTTCTTGTGGAATGTCATCAGTGTTCATTGAGGGACAACAAACAGTGCTGTATCCACGTGCTTTCGAAAAGAGTGTAGCACTAGTAATTGGTTGTAAATGCAAACAACTATTGCAAAAGTCCAGTAGAAGAGATTACCAAGCACCTCTTACCAACTTCATCCAGTAGGTAAAAATTATTATTTCCTACACATGGTTTCTGTGCTTTTCAAATCTGTTTTCACAGCATGACGATACATACTCCCCTTTCTTTTTTATCATTCTAGCCCCTGACCAACAGTGTTGTGATTAGGTAAATTGGTAGAGTGCTCGCCTAGATTTGTTCCTACCCAGGGCAACTCATTTTTTCCTTGAAAAAAAGAGCTGTCCCGGGTGTAGTCGACTTGCCTTTGTCCTTCTACTACTAGTTTACACATGGTACAATAAACATTACATCACTGTCAAGCCTCCATCCTCCACCCCAGGTGCAGTAATCATATCAATTACGTCTGATGGAGCCACCTGACAAAGTAAAAAGTACGCTATTCAAAGGAGACTGCAGTTTAGATAACACTTCTCACTGGTGGACTTGGTGCTAGTTCCTGCATGAGAAACAAAACTGTGACCTAGATGGCCATGTTTTGGGCCCGTTACGAAGCCATTGGTAGTAAACAGATGCTAGCTTTGAAGACAGCATGAAGTGAATCACCCTGTGCACAGAGGATAGTGACTCGCAGCTCAATTAGGCACTGGTGCAAAAGCATTTTTACATGCTACTTCATGTCTGTCTATAAACACACACCGTCTATTAGTTTTCAGAATGACTTGTGCATAAACTCGTGTCCAGACAACCTGGATACAAAATGGATAATGGAGGAAGGCCACATTGCAATGGTGAACAAACAAGAAATTGCTTAATCATTCCCAGCATATTTTCCTCTCCCGAGGGCTGAACGATAAGTGGAAAGCTCACTTCATCTCGTCTTTTGCAAGCGTATATGATGATGAAAAGCACAGATTGGTCTATCTATTGTGCTGCACTATAACATTTACTATAGTATGTCTAAAGATTCCTCTTGTCGGTTTCAAAACAGCACAGGCTACTGTGAGAACGCCAGCTGCAGGCATGAAACCAACATACTCACTGCATCCACTAAATCGTCCATGCCACTGATTCATAGCTCGTTGAAAATGGGTCTGGGTACGTTTTTTTTTTATATACACTGATGTATGTGTGAGGCCCTGAAGTCCTCCACTCTCATACACACCCCCTCTCTCTGTCTCGCACTGTCTCTCTCTATCTCTCTGAGTAGTGTATCTAGTGCATCCATCGCTGACCGGCCCTGGTGGGCATGAATCACTGTCCTTAACGATAATGATAATATTATGACCAAGTTCACTCACACCATAAAAGGTTACTTTCCTTGTGGATGGAATGGCTGGGTAACGACTAAATAGGTACCTGGCAGCTATGGCCCATAGGTGCGCATAGCTAATGATTACGTAGATTACACACTCACGAAGGAATCTCTGAGCACAAACTGGAGCGTGTATCCAGGTAGTAGAGTCTGAGCTTCGTTGATATTGTCCAGGGCGAGCTGGATCCCGGGGATAGAGCCCGAGCCATCGTAGGTACCCCCAAACGACTGTAGGAGGCCGAAGTAGAGGGAGGTAGTGTTAGGCAGAGGCTCAGCTGGGTAGGTGAACGGGAGGGAGGCGTCCTGCAGTTCGGACTTACAGACAGCGATGCACACTACTGCCAGGGCAGCTACTAGGGGGGAGCGAGCGCCGTGAGCCATTGAAGATCACTCCTGTACTCGTCGCTCGGCAGACGTTATCGACAAACGGAAGTTATTAGTCCTGCTTCCGGTATAAATCGAGCAGCTTTATTTGCCCTCGAAAATTAGTTTTTTTGGAGAACTTGATGCATACATTTTGAAGAGGCAACAAACTTTCCACAGTATCTGCAGGATTGTATGACATTGCCCTCCTTGCCTGGATTACCTTCATCATTCTGTTCTTATATACCGCATAACTCTTGGCAGCTCCATGACAGAGAAAGACGGGGAGACTGCCAAGCTCACAGATGAATGAATTGACTCAGCTCTACAGGTCTAGGTATAGGTTAGGCGCTGGAAGCTGTGGGACCTACATAACATCAGAAACCCCCGAGCGCAGCGAGGGCACTACATTGGCCGAAGGTTTCTGAAATAGCTCCAGAGCGTCCAACCTTTTTAGTGCGAAGCGTCAGTTGGCATGAATTTTCCAGCGTCATGCCTTGTTGTGACAAGATACACATACCTGCCTTGGGCGTTTACACGACTATATACTCGCCGTCGCATATCGCAAAAGCGCACTGTGCGCGCGCGCGCAACATTTGTGAATATGGACGCGGTATATAGCTTCAGCTTCTCCTTGTTCCTCCAGGAGGGCCACAACTGCTGCTGAGTCCCCAGAGTCTATCTCTCGACAAGATGGGTCTGAGTTTTCCTTTCTGTACTCACCTGAAGTTGGGGCGTCAGTGGAAGTGCCTGCAGACCACGAAGGTCTCGGAAAAGCACGACGAATCCTGGCAGTTGGAAGCGCAAGCATATAAAGAAACCTGGGCTCAGAAAGAATGCCCCCCATCCAGACATATCTAGCTTGACCGTATGCTGCAGGAAGCAGTGCCTGACCCTCTCTGCGAAAGATCATCTGGCAAAGATTAGGGGTGAATTCCAAGGCTTGTACTATGAGCAACAAAACATAATTATATTTGAATGGTTTGTTGCGTCGGCATGAAACCAAGAAGACCAGTGGGCACAAGCGAAAATCTAATCCAACGACTACACTTTTAATTAATGGCAAGTGGCTAGGCAGACCACCAGCTGAAGAGAGCCAATTCAGCTTTCAATACTACCTTCGAGATGAAAAAAGTGTGGATGTGAAGGTGTGCCCAGAAAGCCTTTTGCAGTGTGCATGGATTTGGGCCAAAACGGCTGTGAGTCCTTCGATAGGGTTTCATACTTGGATGTTGGCATTTTAATAAAAGATGGACATTTCACCACCACCATCTATAAGAGAGATAGTTTCAACTTCTGTATTGTTAATTTTCCTTTTATGAGCAGCAATATTCCCGCGTGTCCTTCGTATGGTGTTTATTGGCTAGCGGGAGCGAGCCAACCTAGTCGTTCGTTCGGGCGGAATTTTCTGTATATATAATATATTATAATTATATATTTATTTATCGTACGTCGTGTATGTGCGCATGCACGGCTTTGTACGCACTTCTTTTTATCCGAAACTAAATTCCAAATTTTATGTACACATTTTCGTATATACATCTAATGGATAGATACAACGTAGGTCTGAAGAGACATGTTTATGAAGGCATATGTGGCCTGTATATTGGACGACCATCCTTGTACAGACACGTAACCACATGGCGACGTCGTTTGTAAATTCTGACTGGCCCTACATTCCTTTAGTGGAAGGATCTCACTGTATATACTTTGCTTCCTGTTGGCCTGCGTTATAAACTGCTTGCTCTTGGTCTCTCTCTGTCATTCCGTTTCTGTGCTGTCGTCAATATTGAGGTGTGTTTTCATTGATTGTACTACTCCATGGGCAGTACCACTGTGAGAAAGGCTTGGGTGAGTGGGGAGAGTTCACCGGTGATAAAAGACTCTTTAACCCACCATCCCCGGTTTTCAAGGCCGGGGCACCCATCTATGCCTTATTTGGTTTATTTTATATATCGCAGATTATTTTTGATACCATTTGATAACTTTTATACCGCCTGTACCGTCTGTTGTAGTCATTTCACCACCGTCGTGCATCAGCTTGCGTGTTTTGCTAGTCCCAAGTAAGCCCTTATGGATATATGTATGTTAATTGTATATATATAGCCCTTTTGAAGTCCTGTTTTCTCTCTTTTTCTTTCTTTCTTTTTATGCATATAGCGTGAGCTGTTCAGTTTTCATGGAAAAGCATGATCTGGAATACGTAAAGCTGCAAGAAGAAAATCGTGAGCGTGCCATTTCACATCAACCAGTACAGCAAATACGTAAACCCATCGTTACACTCCACTTCTACCATGACCTCTTTGTAACAGAATTTAATATTTACTTTGGCTACCCAAGGTCAGACACCTGTGACTCCATTGTGGCTAGAATTGGGGATGCACCTTCACCCTCAGTAGAAAATGGAGCTGAAACAACAGCTGGAGACTCATGAACAAATTTGCTCAGGAGGGATATCAGGCATTTAGATATGATCAGGAGCTAAGCAAGCAATCATGGAGAAAAGTTAATGCTAACTGACATGCAATTTGTGGCTCCTGTATTTGTGTTACATAATGTATGAAACAAGTTTTAACAAAAGTGGTAGCTGAACTATTCTTTGTCAGAACCACTCTCCGTGTTCACTGCGAGATCAGAGTAGAAGCATTGATCTTTGCTAGGAACATATCTTGAAACCAGCTTTTTTACATCTTATGCTTTTTCCTTTTTGATGGGAAGTGGATATTGATGGTAAAGGGGTGGAGGAATGCACTCAAACCCACTCCGAGCTCTCCTTTTCTTGAGAAAAGACACACATTGAGGCACCTCTTCAACGTCATAGGTATGTCGTACCCAAACTTCAGATGGGTGCTCAAATGAGACCAATTTTCCATTTACGATTTTTTCACCTCAGATAAACCATACTACTCCAGCAAAGTCTAAAGGTTGATTATTCACATCCTTCCTACGTTCAGTATAATATCCTTCGAAGATGATGACGGTAATTTCTAAAGAATTCTTGCTCCGTTTCAATGACTTCCACTCTTGAACCAACACTGATCACAGCTTTCCAAACATGACAATACCATTGCTGTGGTGTATATACAGCTTCAACTTTAGAAGCGTACTTTTCTATAAAATATAACAGCAAAGTTTCTGTCAGTTGGGCCATATGTGTGGCCAGGGACTAAAAACTTAAAACCAATCCTTGAATACACATGGCGACGAATTAAATCTGAAAAAAAACACATTAGGTATATAGTTATTCTTATTTTGTCCAGGGCAGTTATCTGCCCAAAATATGCTCCACTTGGCTCCTGTCCTATATAGCTACCTAAAGTGGTCTTGAAAAATAAAATGAGCAAGACAAGATATAACATCATTGGGCCCTCTTTTAGCTAGCAGCTCATGCCACATAAAGGCCACCAATAAACCCCAAAAAGGTAAGTCCAAAGCAGTCTGCAATAAAATTGATGCCCTACAGTGAGCTTTGGCGGGTGAAGATTCATCTGGAAATCAAAATGGAATACATCAATGGCATCAACGCTGTTAAACGGAGGAAGGCTGCAGTTTTTGCAGGTTGAACATACCCATGGGTCGTCGGAGGCTGACAGATCATCATCATCAATCCGAATGCACGTGCAATGATACCAGTATTTGCATTCTCCCTCACACTGGATATATAGCTTTATCTGTCTCTTGTAGCTACCTCGCTCTTGCACACTCCACGTGGATATTCCATGCAACGCTTGGAGGCTTGGTCGACAAAAGGGCCTTTCTTCTCGAGTCGAGAGCGCTGCACGGTTCTAAAAGCCAGAAGGTTGTTAACCCTCGGCGCGCATGCGCAGCGAGGGTTACTGTAGTCGTTCTGTGTGTCTGTCTGTCTACGACTATTCTCGCTGCAGGCAACGAGGCGGCTTATGCAGCTTTAGCGGTACAGGGGCTAGAAAATGAAAATGGCGATTTTGCTGAAACGATTGCGTTCGAGAGCAACAAACTGGGCACAGTCGCGGACAGTGTTGCGTGGCACAATCCATCAATAAGCGGTGCGCATGCGTGTATTAGACGGCTCACCTCGACTTGCTCTGTGTACCTTGGAGGCACAAGAAGCCACAGCGAAGGGTGTGTATCGACTACTGCATGCTATCTACTACTGTATCTTGCCCGTGTCAGACTCTCTGCGAGCTACTAGCGGGAGACCGCGAGTAACGCCAATAGCCCAGCCCATCTATTACCGGTACCACGCATGCGCAGTTGGCCGAGGGTTTTCACGTACACACAACGGTAATTTAGATTGCGGCGGTAACTAAACTTTTAAGCGCCTATTCTGAGAAATAAGCGCAATGCGTTTGCTTCTAATTATAGGGCGTTGCCGCGGGACTAGAGCGGGC